CTCCATCTTGTTCATGTCTGTCATGGATGTGATGAAATGACATGTTAAACATGTTTGATCAGAGCAGCTGTTACTGACTCACAACACAAACACTGATCCTGTGGCTCAGATCTCTGAGTTATTATCATCTCTGGGATTTTAGGATTTGAGTTTTTAGACTAAAACATCCAAACTAAAAGCAAACATTGTCATGATGGGTTTCAGATAAACCCAGTATGCAGAACACCACGGAGACAGATGAAAAGTTTAACAATGTTTATTGATACAAGCACATGGAATAAACTCAGGAACTGGTTCAGGCCGGGGGGCAGGTTCACTGCATTCTGTGAGGATGACAGTTCAGTTAGCTTGTGGACTGAAGATCTTGAGTTAGAGAGTTTCAGATGGATACCTTGATTAATCCGGGTTTTGCTTTGAGAGAGGAACTGTTGGGTCCAGAGACTGTTCTGTTCAGCAGAGTACAATAACCGCCTTAGCGTCTTACTTCTGACTTGAGGGCAGACCTTGAGTTTGGGTTTCCAGCTCTTAGCCAAGAGCTGCATGGGAATCCAGAGAAGAGTCTTCAGGTTTGGCTCAGAGGGCAGGCTCGGCAGGTTAAGCTCATCCAGAGCTTACAAGGGAGAGGATTCCTGAAAGCAGAGACAAGGAGGTATTAGAATCCAATCTAATAAGAGACAACAAAGATTCTCAGGAGATACTAGGCTCAGGTGCTAACCAAACTGGATCAACACTGCGGCGTTGAGGCAAGGTCTGAAGGCAGGTTATATACAGGAGGATCCACTGATGACGAGATGTGCCTCAGGTGTGTTGGAGGCTCAGCTCAGGAGGATCCACAGCACACTCTGCTGGAGAAAGGTGGTACAGCTCCAGATCCCAACAAACATGAGTGAAACAAGCAGAACTTCAGTCCATCTCATGAACAACAGCAGCTAAAGCTTCACCTTGATCCTCATTTAACTCATAAATCTCAGTTGTGCTGAACAGCATCTGCAGCTGGAGACACAAAGTGATGATGTCTCATTGGTGTCTGTCATCCTAACGTGTTGTTCTCTATAGAGCTGCTAGGATCTTCATCAAGCTCAGTAAAGTTCAAAGGGCTAGAGACAACCGGTTTGACCTGGGAGACGTGGAACGTGGGGTGGATGCGAAGACTCGAAGGAAGGTGCAGGCATATGGCTGAAGGGTTAATCACCTGGGCAATCTTGTACGGACCAATGAATCTAGGAGATAATTTGCGAGACATCCCCTTGAGGGGAATGTCCCGAGTGGAGAGCCATACCTCCTGACCAACGACGTACTCTGGGGCAGGACGTCTCCTTGAGTCAGCGAAGCGTTTGGTTGTCTCAGAAGAGCGGTTGAGTGAAGCGATGGTGTCTCTCCAGACACGTTGACAACGACGGATGTGATGGTTGACAGACAGAACCGAAATCTCTCTCTCGTCTGCTGGAAAAAGTGGAGGTTGATATCCGAGACTAACCTGGAATGGTGACTGGCCGGTGGAAGCAGACTTGAGAGAGTTGTGGGCATATTCAATCCAAGTGAGGTATTGGCTCCAGTCGGTGGAGTTGTTGGATGTCAGACAATGGAGAGTAGACTCGAGCTGCTGGCTCATTCTTTCAGTTTGACCGTTTGACTGTGGATGATACCCAGAAGTGAGAGATGACTTACAGTTGAGTGCTGCGCAGAAGGCCTTCCAGACTTGAGAAATAAACTGAGGTCCGCGGTCAGAAAGAATCTCCTGGGGGAATCCATGGAGTTGAAAGACGTGTTTAACAAGGAGCTGGGCGGTTTGGAAGGCCGTGGGAAGTTTCCTAAGGGGGATCAAATGGCAAGACTTTGAAAATCGGTCGACGATGGTAAAAATTGTAGACATACCTCGGGAGATTGGGAGACCAGTGA